AAAACCCAATTGAGTTAACTACCTAAAGGGAGAAAAGAGCGAGCTTTCGTTGAGGACTTTTGTAAATAAAAGGTGATTGGCATTAACTTATTAATACACATTAAGAAAACTGCGAAAACGCCCTTGCTTTGCGGGCTTTTGCCCGGGATTTGAACCCAAGATGAATGAACGCAATGTTTAGTGATGTTATATATATATATATATTCTCGTGGAGAGAATTTTTAAGGTAAACTGGTTTGTATTCATGTTGCATAAGGGAAAACTATGAAAACTCCCATGCAGCCAGCCAATTAACTGGATTTTGAACTCTAGTGTTTAACGACTTTTAACACTCGTCTGCTGGCGGGCCTTTGTATGCTGCTTAAAAAGAATAATTTTCCTAAATTGATAGGTAACATTTTTCTTTCAGTTTGTAAATTAAAAAGTACACAGTAATGTATATATAAAAGCTTTCTTAGGCCGCCCTACCGTGTTAATGATTAGCGACGTTGACTGGCGTACCGAAGGCCCCGGTCTGAATCCCGGATAAGGCATGGATGTGTAGTGTCTGTGCGGCATGGGAACACTCTTAACACTTTCGCATTGAAGTCGCCCCAAACGCCTGAATAATTTTCTACCTAGTGCTTTCCCCCATCACTTTACTGCATTACTCATTGCTTTCAGGTATTGTTAAATGACATGTCAATCATTCTTTTGAAGCTACTAAAAGTAGTTCTATTATTATAATGCACCTTCTCTTTCCTTTGTTTACTGTCAGTGTCAGCTTTTGACGCCGGAAGTTGCAATCTCATCACAAGGAGAACTTCACACAGGGTGAAAGCGTCCAAGAAAGAAGTTCTCGCTTTTAAGTAGGTTATTGTTAGCGTAGTATTCAATTTGTCACGGGGGAAGAAAGCATCCAAGATAAATCTTAATAAGGCGTTTCGATTTTGGGAATAGAGATTTTGCCCTCTCTCGATGCGAAAGAGTTAAATATGCGGTAAACTGAAAGACTCTCGTGCGGTTTGTGGTAGGGGGAGAGGGGTGGGAGACCCTCGGATCTGTCCCCCTCCCCCGAGCTGCTCTCCATTAAAATTGGGGGCAGATCTGAGCAGTTGTCGTACTGTCACCTGTATGGTGCTCAAGGTTCTTGCCAGCGACAGCCGCTATTTTGCATTCCTTGCTACGATGAATTTCGTGAGCTTGTTCTGATGTTACTGTCAAACAAGTGAGATATGTCACAAATTCAACAACATGCGGTTTAGTTTAATGCGCTGAAAAGTTACGAACATTTATAAAATTTTCACAAAATCTTTGCTCACGTGTGACTAGAAATAAAATTGCAGGGTGCCCAAGTAAGATTTGTAACGAAATATTTTAGCAGAATTTTAGAAAACAATGGAAATAATTTTAATGAAATGATATATAATAACAATGATAACGTTCAATTCTTCTAATTCGCCTTTAACATTTTTGATTAAAAGTTTTTCATTATGAGCAGCCCCGAGAGTGCAGCAGAGCTGAATGTCAAGAACGCAGCAGAACTGAAATTTTTACTCACCTGGCACTAACAGGCTTAAAAGTGCAAATCGTAGGACGCCGTACATAGCATTGTGCTAAAATGACCTAGGAGATCGCAGTAAAACTTTGATTGTTATGGAAATCATATATAGAAAATGTGAGGCTTGTTTTGTAAGTCTAACAAACTGAGATATATAACCACGTTCAGTCGTATGTATTGCCGAATATGCAATACACGTGCTATCGTGCTTTGAAAGTGGATAACGTTAAATGCCACACTATGTATATTAAAAAAATCAAATTCCTTCAAAATGAATCAAATGTACGGAATATAATAGTATGGATTAATTATATATACGAATAAATATTAAAATAAGTGAACTGGCCACGCAAAAGTATCCGACTACTGTACAAAAATGCAGATTTCTGGATATAGTAAACACATACTATCAGCATGCAGACGCCAAATTTCGTAATTTTCCACATTCCTCGAACGGGCTGGCTGCATGGGCGTTTTCATGGCTTACCCCATGTGTAACGTTACACGAGCCAGTTTCCCTTAGAAAGTCCTCCACAAAGGCATTCCTTCCCTCAGCCCTCGAGGCTTTGTCGTAATCACATAAACCAAAAGTAATTTTTGCTTAAGTCATTTATTAATGGCAATTTTAAATTTGCATTCGAAAAAGTGGTTACTTTGAATTTCAAATTGCTGAAAACACGCGAGTTAAGTTTAAATTAAAAAAAAATAATAATTATCAGCATAAAAAAAATTATCACACACACACACATACACACACACACACACACAAAAAAAAAAAAAAAAAAAAAAAAACTCCCTATTCAAGAGTGAAAAGTGTGCTGAAAACTTACCCTGAATTGAAATCCATGTTATAGCAAGAAGGCCATCGATAACTCAATTTGAAATAAAAAAAAAAAAAAATTCGGAATCGTCTCGGAAAAAGATTCTAGTTTTTAGATGTGCCAAAGAAAGTTCAGCACAGTAAAATTTAGAGAATTAGAAGACTTTAGTCGGCTACAGCCAGAGAAAGTTTAGTTTTTTGAAGTTCTCATTTTCTAGTAAAGTTTTTAAACATTGAAAGAGTGAGTTAACAGCTAAGAAATAATAGAAATACAGCACAGAATAGCCAAAATGCTTGGTTTAGTTGATTATGGAAAAGTACACTAGGTTTCCCTGCCTCTGGAAGCGGTGCCTTCGAAGAGGACTTTCTAAGGGAAACTGGCTCGTATGTGTATGAGGAAATTAACGAAAACAACCGTGTAGCCAGGGAATTGAACCCAAGTCGAAACTACCATTGTTCAGCCATGTTATTGCTCGACCACTGGTGGGCCGGCAGCCAAAAGGAAGCAATAGAATATTAAGAGTAATCGGGGAAATAAATTTGATTTTTCATGTGGAATACAGTCAGGCAGTAGGCATATTTCATAGAAAACTGCATATTAAAAATTTCACATTAGAGAGATTTAAGTGGAAAAATTTAGACATACTTACCGTAATTTTCTGCAACGAAAACAATGAGCTAATTTGCATAAAAATTACAGAAAGTAGGAAAAATAGAAATACAAAATAGGTATACTTAATAAATTCCTTCTAAAATATGAAAGAAACTCGTACAAAATATAAAATAAACTTCTTTTTTAATTTTCATAGCTGTGTGAAAGAATAAATGAAGACGTTCCTGTCCAAAAGCTAGAAAACACATGCCGTATACTTTATAGTTCAACCAGCAAATGGCACAGCTATCTGTATGGCGGGAGAAAATATTAAGAAATAGAATGACAGGATCCGAGTTCGAAATGTGGATTAACTCCCCCTTTAATTTAAGGCAATTTAAGAGATATTATTTATTTTAGTGCTTATAAACAACTTGTTTTTTAAACGGAAAAAAAGTTAAAAATGAACTGTAAAAAATGGAGAAAAGTTAAAAAATTTTATTCGATCGGAAATTTTCTTACACTGTTTTTTGTCTATGTTACTTAATTTTTCGTCGGCAGTGCTGATTATAGACCGAAACTCATTACACTCACTTTCTTTTTGGTGTTTTTATTGAACAGTTTGGTAACACCATAACTAATGGTCATCAAAATTTTCTGCTTTTAATATTTTACATTGAATATTACTGAAAAAAAGAAACTTAGAGATAGCATTGAAATAGACGGACTCTATTAAAAAGAGTGAAAACATAATTCTTTTAATATTTATTCGAACGATGTATTTTCCGATTATTCGTCCCGGCTTTGACATGTGGTAAAACTACCATGTTTTTGGCATATTTTTTCCGAGTACACAAGCGATCCGTGCTTAGACTTCGTTGACACGATGGCTAAAATGCCCGTGTGGATTATATGCTTTACATTTAATCCTTGTTTCACTGAACAGTATTCAGGCTGTAAAAATGTAAATATGGGCAAGATAGACTTGTTTTTTCTCATAAAATTTCTTGTTCATAGAAAAACGCTTATTTTTATTATTATTTTTGAGACGAATACTACCTATATCGTAATTAAATTACCGAATTTAAATTTACAATTCTAAACACTTCGAGGAGGAGTTACGACTTCTAGCAAGTGATGAAACCCGGTTACTCTGTATACATTATCGTCACCAAAATGTAATGGTATAACTTATGGAGATAAAAAAAATTCATAAAAATATATAAATTCAAATCCTTTGTCTATGTAACATTTATTATTACTATTTATTCAGGGGGTTATGTATTTTTTAATTTTTCGTATTTTCCTATTAGTATCATTTTACATTCCAAAATAAAATTGCAGAGAAAAGAATTAAAATTGAAATTCTATTTGAGAGAAGTTTTAATTTTAATACAATAACCAATGTTTAGTTTCGTGATTTGGCAATATTACTTAAGAAGAAAAGCGAAATATTTGCATGATTCTTTTAGAATCTTTTTACAATTACTTTAATTTTTTTTTGACATATTTCTTCAGAGATCTTCAAATTTTTCACTTTCTGATTCAATGACAAAATTTTCGCTGAGGCCACAATCTACTTGATAGCTCTCGCGTGTTTTGCAGTAATATAAATATTAATAGTAACCCAACCCTTGGTCTTATTTGAAGTTTTCAGAAAGAAAATTAAAATTCCCTCCCCATCATTTTAATGCAATAAATGCATTTAAATATTAGTTGTTTTTTTACAAATATGCAACAGTTCTTTAAGAATTAAAAAAAAAAAAAGTTCCCCTAACGGGGCGTGAGACTGATTAAATGACTTTTTCACACCACGATATCTGAAAATACTCAAAAAGTCTGGACTCATGTGAACATGTTACCACAAAAAATTAGTCTGAAGAGATTTTTATCATATCAGTCTTTTGTACAAATTTGCTGCAAAATGATCTTATCAACTGATTGTCATTGTTTTAAATCCAAGATTACGTGCCAATTTAAATGCACTGTCCACTTATAAAAAACAATGCCCTTGGCGTGATTGCTTCTTAACAATTGACGTTGGATAAGGAAAAGAATTTTTCCACGATTAGATAAAAACAACTCAAAATTTTGAAAACCACCTTCAGATTACTTCTCTTCTGGGCGTTGGTAGACATAGTCAGGTTTTAAGGTAAGTGGCAAATATAATTTCACGCCTCTTTTAACACACTTTTCTAACATTAATATTTTATAACACTTATGATATATATATATATAATATATTATTACCATATTATAATCATAACACGCATATAACGAACGATATGCACAAGACAGAATTTTTAAATCTAGATTATTCTTTAAATGGAGATAGGCTAAAAGTATGCAAATAAATACGAAAATTATGCATTTACCTGAGGATATAGCAAGGGTGGATAGTCTTCATGCGCTAAGTGTTGCATGTTAGGTTTCAAGAATTTTCAAGAGTCAGAATATAACTTTTTTTAATGTTACTGTTATAGAGAAAGACACAAAATTAAAAAAAAATTAACTATGGTAATATAGTCATATTTATATTAATTAAAATAAACTATAGTATTATTGGTGATATATAATTAGAATTAAAATCGTGGGGCTGTAAATAGCGATGGACTTTTAAATCACAATGGTTAAATAAGAAATTTAATTGGAACTAATGTGATTATTCTTATGTAGGCTATTTGTATGGTATCATGAAATTTTTATATGAACAACTCAAAATTTTATTTTTTTATTTTTAATGGTACATAATCAATACATGATAATAATGGTACAATTTTACTCTTTTTAATAGAGTCCGTGATGAACAGTGATAGCTGAAACTGTATTTTTAATTTTTTAAGCATTTAATTAAAATGGCATAATTTCAAAAAAAAATTATGTATTTACTTTTTAAAGTTTCATACCTTTTTTATACTTTGTAGTAAGGAATAAAAAGATAAACAAAAAATAATAAATTATTGCTTCTATAAGAAATTACTTCTTCCAATTCAGTGTGCTAACATGACAACTACATGATATCATATTTCTTCAAGCTCTTTCGATATCTCCGACGGCGAAAGATTAATATCCAATTCATTTAAAATTCTGTTTGATTCAGAAATCCAGTATAATCACCATTTAAAATCATACAGCTGCTAACATTGGAGAATACCCTACCATTTTTAATTATTACTAAACACAAAAAAAAAAAAAAAAAAAAAAAAAAAATTAGAAAGGTTTTGAAAAATCGCCAAACTTTGATAAATTGAACCTAAAATTCCGTAGTCATTCAGAAGATAATTTCTTAATCTAAACTAATAGTGCTAACCTCTAAATTCTGCGATGATCAGTTAGTCGTTAATAAAAGGCATGTGATAACAATTCAGGATTAAATTTTTTTTTAAAAATCTATATTGGCTTTTGAAAAAATTGCCCCGAAATATTATATTGTCATCGAAATTACGTATACGTGCTATATTGCCCTCACAAATACGTAAATGTGTATAATATTGTATGCCATCATTGATATAAATTCATAGACTTGTGAAAAATTTGACTCGTTAAAAATTAATGTCGATATTTAACCCAAAAAAAAAAAATAAAGAAATGAAGAAGAGAAGCCTAGCAAATTAATTTCTGAATAGAATGAAGCGCTTTAAGTAAAGTAATAATCATTTCCCATATTTTAATTAATAATGGGGTTAATTATAAATATAAAAATATCGCTGTCCTTACTCTGTATTTGTGAGTGCATATTCGTACAAATTAAATCTTCTATAATACAGCGATTTATTTAAGCATATTGAAAATTAGGCATTATTTTCTGAAATTATCTAATACAAGTAAACCTAAGCCGAAAGAAGACGTACTGTCCTTTATAATATTATAGAAATCTTTTCGCTCGAAACCTGGAAAAGTAGGACCAAAGACTTTTCTTTAGTCTTAGCCGTTTGCTTCCCTTTAAAAAGCATAAAAAAGGGGGGGGGAAACTCTAGGGAAATTAAAATCGATATAAGAAAATTATTTCAAAATAAACTGACAACTTAGCATGTTTTCTACATAAATTTTGTCGTTCAGCGTGTTACATAGCACTGTAAGAATCCGTGTTAGTAAGATCGCAGTACAAATAAATTCATTAGATAATAAATGGGTAATGAGATGCAATCTTTAGCGCAAATTACAATTATGCGTGTTCGTATAATGTCTTTCATCGTTATACGGTTAAATGAATTATGTTACGGAAATACAGAGCTAGTCAGAAATATGGGTATGTTAGATTGCATCTTGTGAGAACAGTGCTAGGGAATATAAGATAATACAACTGGAAGTCTTCAAGTTGAAGTTGCAATAATGATAATCAGATGCGCAAGATTACCGCAACTTTATCTCCGTTTCAAATGCTTCTATAGTCCTGACTGATTACTTCTGCATTTTTCTTACTTTCCATTTTTCCAGAGTTTAATCAATCATTTTGTTCACTTTTCCTACTCGACTGTAGCAAAATTGCATCCAAATCCTATCCATCCAGTTTCACAGGTACATAATCCTTCTTGTGCAATTATAATTTGACGTAGCATGTTCAACATCATCCTGGAGCTTAAACACCTTACTTTTATTTGAAACGAAAAAAGAAAAAAAAAAAAAAAAATTAAATTTTGCTTTTTAAAAATAGCTCTTGACTTTTCTTTTATAATGTACACTAATATTATGTTTCCAAAATTCTAGGAAGTTAGGTACAATTTTTTTCATCAATTTTCATCAATATTGTAGTGCGTTTTTTCAGCAATCTTGCCAGTTAATTGACTACACTTATCCCAAAGAAAATAATTTTTTTTTTTTTTTTAAGCTGGCCTTAAAAGAACTTTTCGCTGTCTTCTCAAACCACATATTTAGAGCAACTTTTAAATCGAATATCCCGTAAAGATTTTTTGAAATGTGGGAGCAGATGGGGGAACAGAATATTCCTCGAAGGCGTTGAACATTTTCTGAAGTTTCCCCATTCTCTTTTTACAGAAAGAAAAGGTTGCTCTTCGCATCTTCCATTAGTTGTCAAAACAGTACTACAAAAATACGCCTATATCAATTAGACCACTGAATCTATTGGTTTATTTAATTAAGCCTTCGTAGAGGACTTTCTAATGAAACCTAGCTCGTATCTACATTGCATATGAGGAAAACTACGAAAATGCTTATGTAGGCAATCCCGTTCCCTGGAATTTGAGGCTCGGACCAAACAACCAGTTTTCAGTGACTTTACTGCTCCGCTACTGATGGGCCTAGAACTTTATCAAACAGAGTCGTAGCCAGGGTTTTCAGCGCCAACTGAAGATTTCGCGCCCCCTACTGCTTGCCAAGGATGGAAAACATTTAATTCTAAAATGCCGTAACATCAGTTTGGCGCCCCTTGGATTCTGCGCCCGGGGACATATGCCCCCCTTGCCCCCCTTTAGCTACGCCCCTGTTATCAAAAGCCTGTATACTAACATAAAGCCACGTTTCTGACTCACACTGTGTCCATAATGTATATAGCAGCCTATCAATGTGTATAATGTACAGTATATGTATAATATACCAGTATATTAATGTTCGTATAGTGTATGTAACGTATAGTGTTGCATAATTTACTGTCATAAGTTCTGATGTAAGACATACGAACCATTGCCAACACGATATTGCCACATGTAAATCTTAATATAATTTCCTATATCTAAAATATTCCCATGCACATAATCAAATTAATGTAATTTAATATGCATTTTTAATGTATTTTGTCTTTGTATATGTAAGATTGTACTGTGTACCTATTTGTATACGCCATCATACGTATATGTACCCATCTAACATGCTGTATGAACCAATATTTCGTATGGCAGAACTATCTTCCAAGGCCCTTGTAGGGCACTGTATTTTATCGTGACTGGTGTCAGGGGTTCATGTGGCCCCTCACCCTCCCCTATTAATATTCTTTCTGTATTCTCTAACACCCCATATGTATCATGCAGTGTCATAGAAGTATGCCAGTTTTACGTAGTAACATATGGTCCTCCAACAAGTGTAATAATTCATGATGCTAATATCGACCTTTTGATTTGTATCTCTTTCTGTTTCCATCACCCATAGTATCATTAGTATATATAACGTTATGCATTATTTTTATGTAGGAACATGGTACGCCATACATCTGTTTCACCAAAGTAATGCGTGTATGGAAGTATCCTGTATGTTATGTGTATTGTGTAATATCATTTAGTATATGTGTACTGTTTGCATATTTTCTGTATATTATGTTGTACTATGATAGTCTTTGTGTATATGCTTATTTACTCTCTTCACCGTATTTTTATGCAGTAATAATGCATTATGTCTTTTAGTTTTTCAATAGTACATAGCTCACGGAATCACCTGTTATTTAGTACATATCATGTACTATTATTCTTGTAGGGGCTCATATAATCATGTCATTTCAGTATTTGTATAATAATGGAATCATCTGTATATGTATCACTAGTATATCGAACCATTTGCATAATGCCTTGCGGGTGTCTACACATAATTTTGGTATCATTCGACATATGGTATCATGCATAAAGTTATCCTGCATCAGATATCACTCAAGTCCTTTTTCATATACTTTATATCTTTCTACCATAGATATGCCGCAATATGTTATCTCTGCAAATCATATGATTTAATTATTGCCATCTCTTAGTCTCTTATTCTGGTAATATTTCCTTTATGTATCCTTAACTCTATTATATTGGTCTTAGTCCTATGTTAGGATAGAGTCATTCTTCAAGATTCATGTATATATAGTTTCATGTATCGTGGTAGCAACGTCTAAAGTATACTATACAACAACCAATGCATACATTGAGATCATCTTAATATTTCAGTATATCACATATCATGTATCATTGAATGTCTCATAATACTATACTGCATGTATGTCACTAAAGCACTAATTCTGGCAAATCTTATCTGCCATGCCCTGTTTGGCATTTTTTTTTAATTTTAAATTTAATTTTCTTAATTATTTTTTATTATTTTTTATTACATGACATTCAAATATTCTGGTCTCGGCTACTGTCTGGGGATTCGTGCGCCCCTCCCTTCCCCATACCATCTGGTTACTTTAGTAAAGGGACGCGGTCTATCCATTAACGCTATGTAGAGAGATGGTGCTCGCGTCCTCCGTCACTAAACTAAACTAAACTAAACTCACACTATGTCCTCTGTCATACAATAACTCTTCTGTTGTCTAGCGTTCACACTGCTGTAATTGGTAGCGTCGGATAGTTATTAGTGGCTATCTTCGGTTGTAAAAATAGTATCACTCTGGTAGTCGCGTAACTAGGGAAGAGAAAGAGGGGACATCTATCTCCGGACGCAGCATCCAGGGGGCGTTAAACTAATGCTAAGAAATTTTAGACTTAAATGTTTTCTATTTTTGGTAAACAGGAGGGAGCACGAAATCTTCAGTTGTTCCCCGCCGCTAGAAACACAAGCTACGGTTCTGCACTCTAGCAGTAAGTCGCAAAAACTTAATGTACCTTTTTTTTTTTTTTTTTTTTTTTTTTTTGTTGCTGTTGTTTTGGCAATTAATGCATTGCGCACATTTTGAAATTTTTACTAAAATTATTACGTATGTTGTAACGTAAAAAAATTAAACTAGAATTGTCTAAAAATGTGTCGTTTCTAGATATTTCAGATTTAATAGGTCAAAAGGCTAACATTTGGTAATGCTTAACTTAAACTAAGTTATTTATTTATTTTTTATTTGTTGTTTCCTTTTGCTTGTTTAATTAAATATGACAAAGCACTTGGGGGGAGGTACTTTCCTAAGGACAAAATTAAGTTAATTAATAAGGCACAGCACGCGACAGTTATCTGCATAAGCGGACGGATGCCTTCGTGGAGGTAAGGACGGATGTCTTTCTAAGAGAAATTGACTCGCATTAATTCTACAAGAAAAAGCCACGAGAACCCTTTATATAGCTAGTCCGTTTATCTCAATTTGAACCCGGGACGAACTACATGTGTTTTGCGGCCATAACCATTTGGCTTCCATGGCCCTCCAATTACTTTTAAAACCCTCTGACCGGCAATGCCCTATATATTTATATATATGGCCTATTATTCATATTCAAGAAAGTATATATGAGTGCATCTTGAAACACATCCAAGAAACTAAGGCAATATTAGAAAAGTGCATTAATCCAGGCATAAAAAGAACAATCTGCATTTTGGCCTTTTACTCAAGAAAATATCTTTTTCTCACTGGAGTTTGGAGAAATTTTGGCTTTCTCAGAGATATCCCGAGCTGGTCAGAAGGTTTACAACTTGTTTATGAGAGACGATGCATCCTGTCAGAGAATTTTCCACCGCAATTACATTCGTATCTGGATTCAAATTATGTCTTTAGTTGATGGTGTAAGAATTAAATGCTCGTTGTAATAAAATTGATGAATTCTCGAGAGGGAGGGAAGAAAAGTCATTTGCGGTTCAATTCAGATTTAATGAACACCCGAAATTGGAAGTAAATTCGTTAAATTAAGATTATTCGAGAAGCTAGGCTACATTAAAGTAGACATATAAATAACCAGCGAAACACAAAAATTATATACCGATATTCAGAATAGAGATGCCCATCAATGACCGAGTCTTTGGTTAGTTGTTGTCAGAACCCATTAGCCGGACTCTTATTAGTCTTTGTTAAAAAAGCTATATAATGTTCTTATTCGTACTATTTTTAACACTATGTATGATATTTCTTTTCTTTCTTTTGCAGATTAACACGAAACAAAATGTCCACAGCTGGAAAGGTATAGTATTTTAGTTCCTTCTGGAAGATATAGTAAATGAAAAATAAAATTAAATAAAATAAATATAAAGATGAAAAAAATTCCCTGGTAGGAGAGAAAAACTATCTCTGCGGAATATATAATACATGGGGTTAGAGAAACTTTTATAAAGTACAATAATACAGCAAACTGTTCATAAAACTTATCTGTTGGGTGCATTGTAAATTAAATGCATTATGAATAATATTAACAGTTAAAAATATTTATATATTATATCTGACAATTATTTACGTAAAAAATAAAGTTTTGATTTTTTAAGAAGCAAGTTTATTGCTTTCAAATCGGCCATATTGTTTTGCAAATACATTTATAATTTGAAACATAAATTAAAGATCTTGTCGCCCGGACGGTATAGTGGTTAGAGGAGCCTGATTGCGATAACGAAGGGCCCCGGTTCGAATCCCGGAGAATACATAGATGTAAATTGTCTGTCCCTTCATAGGAGGCAAAGGTAGGCCACCTATTAGGTGCTTCCATAATAAAGAGGCCATCACATCTAGCCTTAGAAGTGGCCAATGCTGGCATAGGCAAGCGCCCGCCATTGGAAATAAAAATTAAAGATCCTATGAAATGTTGAATGGGAGCAACACTGAGGGGTGACTATTAGCCAAGCTATATTTTTCAAATAAATGTACTTTATTTATTCAATTAAATAAAGTTTAATGTTTTTAACATTTTCAGACTATTATACAGAAATTCTACGGGTTTTTCGTAAGCCGAAGTCATCGATGATATCTTCAGGCTGTAATTTTTTCAGTAACATAATTTTTTTGACAGATATATTGCACTTTTTTTGGGGGGGGGACAGATATAACTTCTTTTTTTTTTTTTTTTTTTTTCAGAAGGGATTTGCTTTCCGGGTTTTCGTGAGTCGAAATATCATGGCATATTAATTTTTAAGCAACATCATTTTTGATAGAAATGCAACAGAATTATATTTTTCTGAATTTTAAATAAATTTTAACCATTTCAGCGTACAAAAATTTTCTCCGCTGCAGCTACTGATGCCAAAATTATCAAAAATTTCTTAAGGCGAACCAAATTTTAGAATGACTATGTTATAAAAAATAGCAAATATAGGAAATAACTTATTTTGGTGCTTTTGTCATGCATTTCAGAAACGAAATCTTGCAATTCTCTCGTCTTTTTACATTACTATCGCACTGATGGCTTCCTATTCAAGCCGAAGTTGTCGTTTAAAATATGTTGCAAATGTTTGCAGTTTTCCGCTGTTGAGCTCCTCTGTGTTTTTGAGATCATAAAAGCGTACGCTCACTGTGTGTAGCTAATGATATTGTTCCTTTATTAAAAAAAGTGCTTGATCTACAGGATGATCCAAAAGTCAAGTACACCAAATTTTCGAAAATTATAGAATATCAGAAATGGATATTAATGACAAATTGTTTCAATAAATGATACTCCTATACAATAATAAGTAATATATCGCTAGAAATTTCAGTAGTTACAGTTTATGCCGTTAGCTCTAAAAATCTTTTTTTTTTTTTTTTTTTTTTTTTTTTTTCCCTTCTAGATAGCAATAAATTTTCCTCAAGAAGAACAAAGTTTTACGATTAAGCATTGCTTCACAAACATACTTACGGAAACATTATTGAAGCAAATTAAAGAGGTCTTTTGTGAATCCAACAAAACAATCTTATTCCGCTTAATAATCAGATTTCGAGAAATTAAAGCGTTCATCATAGGAAATGACGGGAGCCTTCCGTCTTTTCTGTGTTTGAACTAAATGGGGAAATCAGGTATTGAATACTACAAAGACGACGTTGCAATCAAATTAAAGCATTGAGAAATGATGCTGAACCATAAAAATTCGTTTTGCTTCTGAAAAACTTATCTCCATTTTTCACCAAGTAAACGGTTTTTAAAAGCTAACAGCATAAACTGCAACTGAAACTTCAAGTGACACATTGTTTCGCCATTAACAGCCATTATCAAATTTCTACAATTTTTGAAATTTTGATGTGCACTAATTTGAGATCCACCTGTACAATTTTAAACACAGATGGATTTACAAAGTTAGTGTAAGAGGCAATTACTGGGGGCATCACATTTCGAAAGATGAAAAAAATCATTGGCTTATTTTTAAAAACAAGTAAAGATACCTTGTATCTTAACACAAGGAGCCTACGCAATTTAGGTGATGCGCCGTTCTCCATTACATAAATCTGCACTTAAATAAAAAATACTTTTGAAACTGCTTTTATGGATGTATGATAATAAAGTCAGAATATTCATGATCTTAGCATTTAATGAGTACGGATTGATCTTAACAGTTAATAAGTATGGGTTGCAATACTAATGCAAAATAAGAAAAAAACAAAAGTCTGAAAGGTTTCAGATTTTAACGGTCGCCCAAAAAGGTTTGTTAAGGTTTTTGAGTTAAGGTTGAGTTCTCAGTCTACTTAGTCAGCTGTTACACTTACTCTTGCGAACCCATATGTTCTTCTTTTTTAGCTACATTATTAACCATCATTTTCTTCACACTTACGCCATATACAATTGAACAAAATTCAGAATTCCCAATGCAGTGTTAAGCGTTGGCAGACATTTTTGTAATGTTTTCACTCTTTTCCCAGTATCAGGTTCCGTTTTCTTAGTAAAAGGTCTAACAAAAGTGTCTTTTATGTTTTATTTTTAATTTTTTGTCTATTACCTTTATTTATTAAGTATCGCAATTTTCGCCCTTATGCCACATAAAATCCACACACAACAGCCACATAACAGCAATATCACAAAATATTTTAAAATAGCATATCTTTAGAATTTTCGACAGACGGTCTTGCGCGCTGGAGGTAAAAATGTTTCATTCCGTACAGTGTTGGCCCTTCTCGCTTTGCAATCATTGAATTTGTTAAGCGAAATTCATTAAAAAGTCTTACAAAATTTAAAATAGATAATAAAACAAATTTAAAATGCAGGCTTCTAGATGCATACGTTTGAGTAAAAATAGTACCCCCGAAACGGGGTGCAAAAAGGATTTAAAATGGATTCAGAAGAGATTTTTTTCATCACGTCTGTACGTACGTACTTATGTGTGTATGTATCTCGCATAACTTCTAAACATACATACATTTATCCAGATTCTTTATTATGATTTTAAATTACGTCCAAAGGGGCGTTTTTTTAACGTTTTGTGTGTTACCTTTTTTTTTTTTTTTAATTATTAAATATCGTGTTCTTCGCACTTAAACCATAAACTTCAATTCAACAGCAATATCGCAAAATAATTTAAAAGAGCGTATTTTTAGAATTTCCGACACACACTCTTGCTCGCTAGCGATAAAAAAAAATTTTCTTTCCTCGTACAGTGTTGCCATTGCTCGCTTTAAAATCATTAAGTTTGTTAATAAAAAAATTCGTTAAATTTTACAAAATATGAAATAGATAATAAAACAAACTCCAGATTTGGGCTTCCAGATGCCCATATTCAGGTGGAAACGTACGATATTTAAAATTGGATGGCTGCAGGTACCGATGTTTTATCACAATGCGAGAAACATACATACATTTATGCAGATTCTTGATTATTTAATTTCTTTAAATATAATACAGAGCGATAATATTTGTTGGCAACAATTTGAAAAGTGAAACAACGCTTATAGTGAATCAATGAAAAATACGAAACGAAACGAATAGTCCTTCTGGGCAAATTGCACCTTTGGTCTAATAAATAATAATAATAATAATAAGTTTTGTGTTGAAACTAACTTACGCCATCAAGAAAATGCTTAAAACTAAGTTATATTCAAAAATATAATTTGTAACATAACTGCACTCATTTATTTATTTACTTCCGTTCATTTCAAAGACACTAGATCTTACAGAAATACTTGTAACTTTGCTACAGTCTAATGAGTACTTATTTTCTTTTCCGCTCGAAAAATAAATAACTGGGTATTGCCACTTAAGAGGTGAATTAAACAGTTGGGAAATGACCCAGCAGCAACATAGCACTTTCAAAGTCGTGTGGATGACAAAAGCAATGTGGCGTAACGTAACATAATGTAACTTTTATAAAACTTTGCTAAAGACGTTTTTCAGTTTCAAACTAAATAAACAAATTAATAAATAAAAATAACGCATTTTTAATTTTAAAAATTTCTTTCTTACTATGATTGGGTAAATGGCAAAAAATGTTTTAGCTTTTTTTCATTGCAGCCAATCACGTGCCGTGCTGCGGTGGCATGGGAGAAAGCCAAGCCATTCAAGATTGAAACTGTGGAAGTCGCTCCGCCCAAGAAAGGTGAAGTGAGAGTCAGGGTAAGATTTCTTTGATTTTTCCTTTTTAGTTTGCTTTTTAACGGCGAATCCAGTTTTATGGCTTGTCATGCTTATGACGCTAACTTTATATTTTGATGTTTTTATGCTTATGACGTATGTGTGGCAAAAGCGGATAATATTTTGGCTGCGTATCAAAAATGCGCCAAACGAAATGCCTTAACCAAAAGCAACTGTTTTCCTTTCTTTTGTTAAACAACTTAACACGAGTTGGCAATTTATATACTAGCAAATGTAATAAAATTGTTTATGTAGTTAGAGCTTCAAATGCCAATAATATTTTTTTGTTTATGTCATTAACATTTGAAGCCACTTTTAAATTAACTGTTCGAATAATGTAAATGTGTATAAAAGTTGCGTTTAAAAATTTGTATCAATTAGACATGTTGTTAAAAAATATATTAAATGCCAGCAACTGGAAACCAATAATTCTGCAGCAAAGTGCCCTATGTATCGCGTTAGAAGTATCCTTTATTAATTGTACCCATGTTACAAATATTTAAAAAAAAAATCATCCTTTGGGTAAATTATAAATTAGATTACTTATATTTCTAAACTATATTATTAGAAAACTAAAAACTAAGATTTAAATTATTAAGAAGTATGTTTAATTTCTTTCTTACTCCTCAATTTGTTAAACAATTACAGACTGATTAAATTTGAATATAAATTAAAGAGACCAGACAGGCAGCAGTCTGATAACTGATTATTTTGCATAGCCGTGCGAGAGGTAAATTAAAAACCTTATGTTTCGCTCAGTGGTAACATTTGCCAAACAGTATACATACATCATTACATAATGTAACATAATTTAACGAACCGAAAATTTATTAATGCACTTGCCTCTAAAGATATATTTTAATGCCAGGTGAAATAAACATCGGTTTTTATATTTAAAATAAACTTATTTATGTTAATTAATTGATTATATTTTAACTTGATATAATTTTAGGTTAATTTCAAATTGGAATGTATTAGAGAAAAACTGATTCATATAAAAATTCATTCATTGACATTCATTCATAGACGTAGAATGTGAGATTTTTACAAAATGCTCAAGACAAGATAAGAGTACGGGAAAGTTTTTAAAAATAAAACAGTATTAATAAAGGGGAGACTAAGAAGCAAATTATTAAGAACTATACAGACTGTTTTTGACCGCTCAGTTGATCATGCTACAAGCAATGTACACTTTTTGTGATTTGAAACATAGCATAACGCTCTCTAAAGTTAACAACACCTCTCATAGTTATTAACAGTTTATCATTCCGAGTGGATGATTAAAATTTTAATAGCGTAGAATAATGGACAGCAACGCACTGCAAAAAATTTGAGGACTGTAGATATATTTAATATCAATTGTAATAAAGGTGTAATTGCATATTTTCTTTGCATTCAGTATATATAGAGAGAGCAGTAAGATTTAAATCTTAAACTATGTAGCAAACGGGAAGACTATAAGTATTTTAATGCCATTGAAATAATGATGTAATTACATATTTTCTTCGCATTCAGTACATATAAAGAGAGCAGTTAGATTTAAATCTTAATGTATGTCGCAAATACTAAACCTTATTTCAGAAGCATTCTCTTTTAAGCTAGGTAGTGGGCTGCATATGTTCATTTATTCGAAATACAAAGAATCATCTGATGGCGACTACTTCCCTAAACGACTACTTCTGAAGATGAGAAGCATTTCAAAAAGAGCAAAAATTAACTTTGATGCTTTCAATACTTCTATGAAACTACTCTCTCCAGAGGAGACTAAAGTAACCTGCAATCGCGGGTAATAGAGAATTTCACAGTACAAACACCGTGTCCGCAAAAGTCCTTTCAAGACTTTTATTTCAGCCGTCATTGGTCGTAGATATATATTTCCAGTTACAAAAATATTTTAAATGATTAGGATATTCAAGTTTTCTTTTTTAAAGTTTAAATAACGTTATTTTGTATAAAATATGAAATGTAACTTTTTATACGGTTCCTATATTTATATTTAGGAAAAGTTTATGCTCCTTATAACTGTAAAAGTTTGACCACCGTGTGACAAAAACTGAACGAGATATTTCATTTTAAAATTTGCGGTTTTTGATATCATTTCCCGTGAGAGGTCGGTTAATAATAAATTCAATAATTCGAGATTAACTTTTGTCCCCTTAAATCTCATTCGGTGATATTATTTTGCAATTACTGCTGAAATATAAACATGCCATTCTTAATTTATAATTTTGCTACATTTGGTGCGCCGAAATAGTTTTTGCATAAAGAATCGACATGTTTTAAAATACTAGAAATGCATCATTAATATTATTACTCCAGAATCTTAATCTAAAAATCATGCAAAAAATTCATTTGCGTGGACTTTTTTTTTAAATTTATGCAAATAATGCTATAAGTTGGCAATAATATATAAGTGCTATAAGTGACAATATTAAAGCCTGACAATGTTTACAGAACGAGAATTCTGTAAGATTCTGTGAATAAGACTTCTTTTCTGGGGTGGGTGACAAAAGGGATGAGTCGTTTCACGATTTAATCTACTAACATAAGATTGTCTTTCTAAAATAATGTTTTATTGCTAGTGAAATACACATGCAAGCGGTTCGCCCTTAAAACTGTGTACGACACGTATACGATCTCAGATTTTAATATCAGATATCTTGGTTAATTTTTGTCGTACGAAACTGATACTTTTTGTATTGTACTTTCTATAATGAGTACAATATTTTCCTAAATATAACTGTAGGGATCGGAAATTAGGTAGGGATGTCAAATTTTGTAATTTTTACGCAATTAATTTTTTTTTTAATTTAAAAAGGCCAAAATATGAATATTTACGTCATTTAAAACATTTTTGTAATTGAAACTGTATGTCTACAACCAAGGTTTGTTTAAAGGCTGGAGAAGGACTTTTGTGAATATAGTATAAATATTTATTTCTCCATATAAATGTTCCTCCATGATTTAATAAATAATTATAAATGAAATTCAAAATGAGTTGCTAAATCCTTAAGATCCAGTCCTCGTCACTATCATAAAGTTCAAATGATCTTACTAGGAAACCTGGCGACTTCTCGCACAGGCGTGAATAATACCAGCACAGAAGAAGGGTGTTATAAACCCTTTATTATTTGTCATACTCTTAATACAAATGCACGTACTTCGTGCTTACAATAACACCGATGACTTGCGGTTGAACTTAACAATAAATTCAAAGGTTAATAATAGTGCTAGACCACACAATTTAGTTTAAAGCTAACCCCTATGTCTGACTCAACCTACCCGGCGATATGCTTATTAAATAGCCAAAAAGGCGTATCAGCAACTCAGGGTAACAACAGCAAGGACAAAATAGTAACGTGCGTTGGCTAGCGACATCACGTTCTGAATAAACTTCCTAGATTCGTCTGTATTTATACTCCCTACACTTTAAATTTGCGTCCTAGTGAGGTAGTGTGAGGAGAAATTGAGGAGTTCAGGAAAGATAAAAAATTTGAATAATTGGTTAATTGAACCAAGGGAAACCCTACAAATCATATTCTCACTGGCTGTGATGCCGGTTCCGAATCGGCATCACAGCCAGTGAGAATAACCAAACATCCCAATCGATAAGTTGTCCTCTCCTCCAGGATTTCTTTTCCCTTTATGTTTATTTTTGTTCTGTCGGACAGAGAACACAAGCATCGAATCTAGATAAGCTCAGTTTTATGCATTGTATTTCTTTGCAGGTGACTTCAACCGGTGTCTGCCACTCAGACCTCCATATTCTGGAAGGCATAGACAAATCCTGGTACTTTCCATGCATCTTGGGCCACGAAGGAGCAGGAATCGTCGAAAGCGTCGGCGAAGGGGTGACCAGCCTGGCGCCAGGTAAGTAATTAACCACCTGCAACAAACTGCTTATAAACTTGAGAGGACAGTTGATCACTTAATGAACATTTGAAATCTTATCAATGGGAACAAAGCTACGCGCCTGTTGTCGCGACAAGATTAATGCAATGGAAATAAGATTAGTAGAAAACCGCAGCAATGCAAGTTACAGTATTATGATGAAAGGAACAGTGCATATACATCAATGTTACTCTGACACGCATGCATATCCGGAATAAAGATACATAGCCAAAGATGTTACATTGTCAAGTATGCATGCGAAACAGACATTGAAATGTACAATATACAGTGCCGAACAGATAATATTCGAAATAGCACTTTATAGGGGAAAAGGGTACACTGCCGGATTAAGGTTAATCCCCCAATTCTTCCAGCTGGCCTTACACAAGATATGAACTGGGGCTCTATTTCTGTTAGATGCTGTTAATAAAATCCAGTGGCGGCTCGTGGCTAAAATTAGTGGGGGTGCTGTTCCAAAAAAAATTAACCTTTGTTTTAAAATTGTCTAAAAGAAAATAAACATGTATAAAAAGAAAATTTATTTTGAAACTTCATGAAATCTTACAAGAAAAAAATTAAACATTTCTTAATTACTTTAACCAAAATTGTTACAGTTCAATCTTTACCTATTCATTTAAAAATGAAATCCATTCTTCTTGTTTTAATTTGGGCTAAAAGATCAATAATTTTCTCCTTGATCTCTGGATGACAACTGAGGAAATTTTTCTTTATTGAAATCAATGCAAGCGCATTTAGTCTTTCCAAATTCCTAGTGCTTCTTAGAAAAGTTTTCATTCTTTTTAATGTTGAAAAGCAGCATTCTGCCTCTGATGTAGTCATGGGAACTCTCAAGAGAATTTTTATCTGTTTCGTAATTTCACTAAGAACATCATCTAGATTATTTGCAGTATTCATGGATATCAGACCTACAATAGAATACTTTTAGTTCAGTTTCAAGCTTTTCTTTGTCAATCATTAAATATGCTTCAGTGGTCAGTACTATTTCTTCTGTAGAATGGTCATTCCTAAAACTAGCGAAGCATTTCTTGTTTAACAATTTAGCAGCTGCTAAGTGATAGTGGAAGAATACCTGTGCATTATATCAATACATAGCATAAAGTCACATATTTCCTTACCTTCGGCCATCAGTGTCTTTGAAAAATTCTTACTTTATTTTCTTTTTTCTTAATTCTAAAATAGCAGTTTAAAAATTTGTTATATATTCGTTAAATTTAAACAACACACTAATTTCTCTGGATTGCATTTAGTTGTATATTATTTCAACATGACGCATCTGATAAAAAAGCTCTAACCAAAAGTTGAAATTATCATCATATAGTTTTTTTTTTTTAAATTCCTGTTGCTTTTGCAATAGTTTGATCTGCATTTGATGTTGATTAAATTTCATTAAGGCAATTTTTTAAAGGTTGCAAATTTTCATGAACTCTGTTTACGGTCCGTATGATAAAGTTCCACCTTGTGGAGGAATATGACACGCGCAGAGTAAAAAGAAGTCACGTTTCCAACAACATGCCATAATTTCGGCACTGCAAGAATGACAGTGCTCTTCTCGCTACCCGGCTCGCGTGCTGCTTTCTGTAAGCGCATGCGCAGAACAGCCAAGCACCACGTCGCTGGAACTGTGAAGAGCGCAGTTCCAAACAAAGAATTTCGTACCTTTTCACAAAGTAGGGGATGGCAACTGACATTAAGCTCAAGGATTTTGTACTGTAAAAGTATAAAGAAAGAATTAAAGACTAAAGGGTACACTATATTAAATATTCAAAATAATAATAAGTGGAAATAAGGGGTGCTGCAGTTCCACAGTGCTCCAATTCAAAGATTCCCAATCCTTTTCTTGCATCGACGTCTTTTAAAAGAATAATTCTCGTCATCACTCCCTTACGCAGCATACAACACAATCATAATACAATTAATTGTACGTAAATCACTTAAAGATAACAATTAAATTAGTAATAGGAAAAAAGTTCTAAAAATAGTTTATTAATTTTATGTTTTATTATTTTTTGTATTATTACTTTTAATTTAACAAATATAAGCAAATTTGCAGAAGCAAAATCACATATTCCAATTCCACAAAGTTCGATTTTAATTAAGGCGATGGCTGCGCCTAATGTACCGATGCAATTTTTTTCAAAATTCGGCACCCAGTCACTTAAATTGATTTTTAGATCATCTCGTTCAAAAATATTCAGCTTGTTTCTTCTCTTTGACAGTAAATTATTGACTTGATTAAAACTTGTCTCTGCTACATAAGAAGAAGGAAACGTCAATAATATTGGTTCGGTAACAACTTTTATTTTGGGATGTTTCTTTCGGATGGCTTTTAAATTCCAAAACGTCCTGTGCCCCCATATTTTGAATAAGACTTGTGCTTAAATATAGGAAAATTCTCCAATGCAGTCACCTCTTCTTGCATTTTGATACCTTGATACAAAATTAAATACAAAATTAAATATCTCTGCAACAAAGATCCATAGAATTATGCGGTAAACTGTACGTTTATTAGCAAAACTAAAAATGGTGTACAAAAGTTTAGAAAATTTAGTTACGAAAATCATTAACAGATGGCGCTATTCCTGTGCCAGTAAATTGCGGATAATCTAACGCAATTACTCTATTCCCAAAGTATTCATGAAGAAAGCGAAAAACTTTATCTGTTCGATGTGGTCGAGCCTCATCTTGCATAAACTAATCGATACCTGGTCGATCCTCCAACGCTAGTTGAGTGCCGACAAACTGTTCCAAAATCGTAAGTAGTTATCGTTTCTCGTACGAAAAAGGGTCCGATAATGCCTCTGGCGCTTACCGAAGCCCATGCAGTAACTTTAGGCGAATGCAGTGCTTTCTCTTCACACAAATGAGGATTTCCTTCACACAAATCTGGAGATTTTCGGGTTTTCGGAACCCCAAAATCTCCAGATTTGTTTATTAACAATTTCATTCAAATGCAAATGAATCTCATCTGTGAACCAGATGCAGCTCACATTAAATCTGTCGTTGTCGATCATTGTTAGAATCTGATTCGCAAAAGTCAACCCTTTGTTGCACACCTTTCATGATGACTTTGGATTTTGTATGGAAACATCCGTATATATATATATATATATATATATATATATATATATATATAATATATATATATATATAATATATATATATATATTGTGTACTTCAAAACCTGTCTCTGATGCAATCCGTCGGATGCTTTTCCTAGGATTTTGCTGAACAATTCCAGAAACTTTGGCTGCATTTTCAGGAGTGACTACAGTTTGCCTAGGCCCAACATTTCCCTTTCGATCATTAGCCACGCTGCCAGTCCGTTCGAATTTCGCGAAGAGCATGCGAATGGTTTTCCCATCGGGTCCAACTGGAACATTGAATCGGTTTTGAAAACTGCCACGTGTTGCCGTAAGACTGTGTTCTAATCGGTAAAATTCAGAAAAAAAAAAAAAAAAAAAAAAAAAAGTTGTTTAATGGAATACATTATTTCACTTTCTACGTTATCCTCTTTTCACTAGCCAACTGTCGTACTGATCACTTTCAACGTGTCTCAAGAAACTTCAATAAACTATGGAGATTTAAAATTGACTCCTTAAGATAAATTAGGAAATGCAAGACTCTGTCGATTGTTTTTCTGTTCCTTTCATTTAAAATAATGACTAAATGGCCATAATACGTTCGAAATTGGCCCCTATAGCCCACGGGAAAAGGTTAAAGGCTATTGATAGGTCATTGCGATTACAGCGTCCTCTGTTGACGATTTTAGTAACTAAATTTTCTAAACTTTTGTACACCATTTTTACAGTTTAATAAACATACAGTTTACCGCATAATTCTATCGATCTTTGTTGTAGAGATATTTAATTTTGAAATCAGGGCTTATTCGCTGAACACCCTGTACTTCTTGCATGCGCCATAATACCATTTTGATACTATGAGCCTTTCAGATTCAAACTCGTATGGTATGACTGAATGTCTTGGAAGCGAACAGTAAAATCTCCTTTTAAACTTTGCAAGTGTATATATAATATATATATATATATATATATATATATAAGCGAAATACCACTGACTCATCACGAGATCTCCGAAACAATACACCCGATTGACTTGCAATTTTGCTTAGTTACTCATTTCACGATGTAGACGCGCACTAAGGGTGGATTTTACGTAAATCCTGTCCAAAAGGGATTTTTGTTATATAGTAGAAGTTTCTCATACATTTTTAAATCCAAGTTCAGAATTTTCTTATATTGTTGCCAAAACTAGATATGAAATACAATGTTGCTAAGGAATGCATTTTCCTTTAAAATTATTAAATTGGTAAATAACTTGCATCTATGCAATGAATACAAACAACATTTAAATGATAAGATTAATAAATAAACCTTAGTTTTATGCTGGGAATTTTTCGTGGTGTAGGCCTACTGGGGATCCCGCCACGTCAAATATTGGGGATGCATCCCAATACACAGTACCTCATGGGTGATGGGGAAATCTGTGTATGACAGATTCACCGACTGGGACTATATTTCCCAAATTTAAATTTAAGAAAATTATATTAATTATCAATCTGAAATTAGACGTTTCGTCCATATAAGAAGTCTAGGTTCTGTTCCCAGCAAAGCGAGCGGGTATCAGCTAGTAGTAATTATATACATATTTCTTTGCATCAGCGTATCTTCTGAGGAGGTTTCGCGTTCTCAGTTGTTAGATTGTGCTTTTTCGTATTTCTGCGTTTTGTGTATTTATAATGCTCTTCATCATAAAAAATTTATATGTTTTTCAAAAATATTATTGATTAAAAAAATGTATTAAATAAATTTTGTGTATATTTCCGTTATATGTATTTTACATGATTTCTTCCTTACTACGTTATGTAATGCTAAATCGATAAAAAATAATTACCAAATTCATTAATTATTATTTTTTGTAAGCAATGAGATATTGATTAAATAAACCGATTGCAAGTGCACTTTAGGCTATCAACCCCCAGTTGATTTCTTGATCATCATTAATCCTCTTTAAAGAGACTTCGAAAGAATTAATACCGATCTTATTGGGAACTCCTGTCCCGTGTATTGCCACTTTACGATTTTTATTAATAAGCAAATAATAAACACTAATAATAAAGTATCGTTTATGTAAACAAATATTTTGACAAATATTAAATTAAAAAAACAAAAAATAAAATTTATATAAACAAATATTTAGAATTCAGAATGTAACGGATAATTTTTTATTACTAGGTAAGTTTATTCTTTATTTTTTTTCTTGGGTTACCTGATTAATTATACTTGGATTATATTTCCATCTAATATGTTTATGTATAAGACGTGTTGTGAATAAAAGCATTAAGAAACTGCACACATGGTCTTCAAGCGAGAATCATGTTTATTCCTTAGTGTGATATAATGTTATTTTTTAGTCCAAATGGGCTTTGTTCCTTATGATTTTGCGTCGAATCATTCTGAATGTCCGTTTCCCTTTTCCAACTGTTGCCACCAAATATTATCGCCCTGTATCATATTTGAAGAAATTAAGTAGTGAAGAATCTGCATAAACGTATGTATGTTTCGCGCATTGTGATAAAACAACGGTACCCAGAGCCATTCAATTTTGAATAACGTCATCCTACTGAGAATATGGGCATTCGGAAGACCAAATTTGAAATTTGGAATTTGTTTTATTATCGATTTCATATTTTGTAAAACTTTAACGAATTTTTGATTAACAAACTCAAGGATTTCAAAACGAGCAATGGCAACGTTGTACAGAAAAAACATTTTTATCTCCAGAGAGTGAGACTGTGTATCGGAAATTCTAAAGATAGGCTCAATTTAAAATTATTTTGCGATATTGCTCTTGAACTGAATTTTATGATTTAAGTGCGAAGAACATGATATTTAATAAATAAAGGCAACACACAAAACGTTAAAGAAACGTTCCTTCGGGCGTAATGTAAAATCTTTTTTTTTTTTTTTTTTTTTTTTTTCCCGTACAAATTTGGGTCTCCTTGAATTACAAAACCAAAATACTGCTTTCCGTTTGGTTAATCAGGTTCTATGCATTGATATGCAGTATAAAGTAAATCATTTTCAAATAGAATGTTTTGCCCCTATAATTAGTTTAATTAATTAATTAATTTTAAAATATTTGAAATAATTTGGTAAAAGTAATAATAAACAAATTTTTTTGATTTCTTATGTCATTTGTTACAACAATGGACGTACATCTGAAACTTCTGAAATCTAAAAACACATGTCTGCCGTACGATCGTCGTACGATGCCCTGTAGATGCTTTGTTTTTGCCACGATGTTTTTGAAACATTATCCTCTCTGCCTGAATCTTTTCAGGGCATCAAAGAGGTGAAAGACCGTATGCTTGTGAATTTCAGTCTCAGGATTTTGATGATGTAGATGCTGCTAACAAATACATCGCTATATTGGCCCAGCTACAAATACGAAACTTTTCTGCCATAATTGACAAAAACCTCAATCACATTAAGCTTCGGCTACGCGGGACTTGACGTCGAAAGGGGACAATTCTCAAAACCCGCACAATTCCAGGAAAACCACGTAGCTAGGTTACCATTTTCACTTACTACAAACACTTGAACGCCAGACACTAATCGATTATCTCTGAGACTAGAATCACATGATGCTTCAGAAGCAGAACTTTCGTCTGATTGGTTGTCTCTACCCGAGACAGAGGTCCAGCCAAGACATTTTCAGTGAGGTTTGAAAAAAATCCCGCGTAGCCGCAACACCGTTTCCGTAGCAAGGCGGGACTTCGCTTCAGGCGGGGCTCTTTTTCTCAGGAATCCCCCCGTTTAAAACAGTGCTATCAGATCGTCTTTTAATGAGCAAGATAGTTTGCGCTATAGTTGACTAACAGACAAAACACTTTTTTGACGTATTTGAGTAACAGTTACGGAATTTTTGTACAGTAATTGACTAATTAGTGAGAAAATAATATTGACCAACAAACTGACCTTTTTTAGTCTAGTTGACTAACAGTCACGGCATTTTCTGCAACAGTTTCAGGACTGCTGCGCAAGGATGCCGGCGTTTTAATGCAAATTAATCAGTGTTTTCCAAAGCAAAAGCTTCATAGGAATGCCTTAGCATGAAGATGCCGATATCTTTTTAAGTTGAGATACTTTCATGCAAGGACCTACGAAACGGACTTTGATGAAAAAGGTGTACTGAAACAGTCTGCATATTGAAAAGAATATCTGAAGTGTCTTGGAAAAAGTTAGCTTCTGCTGACAGAGTTAAAACGTGTAATTTCATTTCATTAAATATATGCTTTACCTATGTGTTAAACTTCTTGCAAACAAGAATACATCTACATTATTTTCCGATTCTTCCTTTGTTACACGCGGCTGTTAGCACCAATTTACAATGCATGCAGTCTTTCAAAATTTGTCGTCTTTCACAATTTAAGCTCTAGCTACAGCATTCAGAAATAATTATTTTTACCCATTTCACTTATTTTTATCAGAGAAGAATAGATGATCTCTGATGTCCCATAAAATCTTGAGCCCGAAGCCTGGGCCTTCTAGGCTTAGGCGATAATCAGGCATTGAGTGTTATCATCGCATTCTTTAACTTGATTTTAACTCTGCTTGGCAGATAATTAGTATCCAGATAGTTGCTTTTCGGTACATCGTAAAATATTTAATTTACGTATTTTTAAAAATCTAAGTTATTGTAATTTTAAATATACTTAATTTATCGTAAAATCTTTAATTTACGTATTTTTAAAAATCTAAGTTGATGTAATTTGAAATATACTTAATTTATATTATATCTAAGTGATAATATTTATGAGCATTTTTAATGTTATTATAATTAAAAAAGATGTTTTCAGCCCCATACATATTGCATCTAGATAGAGATTCCATCATTATCCTCATTCCGTAGTCTGGTAAAATAAAAGGTATTGCCCTTCCATTCGAGTGAAATTCTTCCTTGCCAACCTCATATGCAAGCGGTTTCATGAAAAAAAAAAAAAAAAATCTTATGAGTACACGTATTCAGTAATCAATTTTTTTCTTCAATAAATGCACATAAAAGATACGGCATGACGATCATTTAGGATAGAGTCATAACATAGCAGATTTCTTTTTTCCTTCCTTATACCTCATCCTTTAGTATCGGTATTTTGAACAGCTGATTTTAAATTTGCGATTTAATATTTTCGCAATTCTGGGAATTTATTTTTAAAGCAACAAATACATTGTAGCTAATATTTAAAGTTGTTTAAGAGTTAAACTGGAACTTGAATCAAAGGATCAAGTTTTTCTTTTTCTAATTTTTGATATATATATATATATGTGTATGTCTAGTATGATCTTAAATTCACTTAGTGCGAAATCGAGTTATTCTACTTGCATATACATGTATATATTAATTTTTTTTTAATTTTAATACTAAACTTCTCTTTTAGATCTGAATTTGGATTTTGAATTTTTCAGCCTGCAATTTTTTCACTTTTAATTTTGTAATTTTATAAACCTAATTAATTTTCAGGGGATACCGTCGTATTTTGTTTTGAATCTCACTGCGGAGAATGTAACTACTGTAAAAATCCGAAAACGAATCTGTGTCAGAAACAGCCGGTAAGTGAAAGTTTTTTAAGCTAACTCTTACTCTGCCTTGTTTACGCTAAACTGCTTGAAGATGCTGAAGCAACTGCGTGCTTTCATTTTGCGCAATATATTTTTACAAAAAGATTTTTGCATATAATAAAGCAAATATTAAACATGCCCCCATTTCAACCTAAACATTGCACGTCTATAGTGGCGAACAAAGAACTTACAGGAAACAGTAATAAATCTATTTTACATTACCTAAAAAAGGGAAACAGCAGTAAATATGTTTTACATTTCATTCAAAAGGGAAGCAGTAACCTCCCCCTTCTATTAGTTGTTATTCGAAAAGGAATACTCACTCATTTATAATGCCTCAAGAAGAATTTTTTTTAAATTAACGCTTAAATTAAGATTATTCATTGTAACTTTATAATATTCTGAATGTTAAAAATACTGCTGATGCTTTTGATATTGAGGTGAGCACTTATCTTTAATTTTACTAAACTACAAAATGCTGAACACTACATACATCATTCATTCGACATTATCACTTCCTAAAGAGCCGATTATACAATGTTTACTACCCATTCTTCTAATTGTAATTTTATTGACTACGAACGCGACAAGCTAACATATTTTAGTTTTATAGCTTGAAATCATCCTTAAAGCATTAAATATCTCTATATTTCATCATTCGATACCATGAAGGGCTTCATTAAAAATCTGTTTAAAAAAATCTTGCTAATTATTTATCCAAGTTAAATTTTATTGCCTTACAGTGTGATACCCCTGTGTTGGACAGTAAGTACCCCTCCACTACTTTTCCGACACAGCGAGGTAACTTCTTTAAAAACATATTTTACAATCCATGCAGTCCTTTTTCTAAATTTAATTTTAATATCTTATCCAACGCGATAATACTGAATGCTAAATACCTTTTCTTTTCAATCCCCGATATTGCGATGTACTTCCCCAAAAGCCAATTTTAGAACTCCTGCTATCCACCCTTAAAAGTCTGGAAGATTTGTTAAGCTTTTTCCTGCATACCGGATCTTAAAAGATTTGAAAGTTACGTTTGCTTTAATTTTTGCAGAGAACCGGCTTTCAATTAGATGGCACCTCCAGAATCACGTGCAAAGGAACACCCCTAGGTCAGATGAGCTCTATAAGCACATTTTCTGAGTACACCGTCACCTGGGAGAACAATGTAACGAAGGTAAGACCAGTTAAGTGCGTTGTTCTTTTTTCTTCCTTTCTACCCCCTTCTTACAACTTAGTTCTAGCTTTACCATCTGAGTACTTCTAGCATCAAACTTTACCAATGAGTATTGGGATATGAGTTTGGCCTCAAATTTTATCATTCTGCCATCAGGTACCTAGAATTCCATTGGTGTATACTGATTGTTTTATTAAGATTCTAAGGGCATTAACTCCTATTCGGGCAACATTTCCTGGCAGCTTCTAGAGCACCTTAACATGATACAGAGGCCTTCCTCAGTTGACTGTGCTGGTGGGGCGCCAACCCACCGAACAGCCCGCAGGGACTTCACATTATCAATGTGTTCTCAATATATCGAGGAATATGAATTTCCTTTTGGCGAAACTGCCTAAGGACCTACTGTGCTTCAACTGACACAGATCGTCAAACAAGGCTCTTCCCAACAGAATTCAGTCCAAACCATGTGCAAAGAATTGCATAGTCGGCTGCCTGTGAGAAAAGCACTGATTTCTGCCCGACATGCAAGAGTTCGTTTGCAGTGGTGTCGTGAAAAAAGACATTTGATATCTGAGGATTGGGAATGGGTAATGTGGTCGAATGAATCATGCTACAATTTATTTTGCACTGATGGAAGACGTCAAATTTGGCGAGAACCCCATGAAGCCACGAATCCATCTTGCCTTACTTGCCCTGTGCAAGGATCTGGTAGAAGTATCATGATATGGGGCATGTTCTGCTAGCATGGAAGTCGTGCTCTAGTGTTTCTAGAAGGTAAACAAACAGCCATAGATACCTAGATTACTGGGAGATCAAGTGTACCCTTCATTGTTGCATTGTTGCATGACGACAGATATTTCATGGGCAGTAATGCAACTGTACATCGTGCCAGAAGTGTTCAAAATTGGTTCGCTGAACATCAGTCTGACTTCCAACACCTTCCCTGGCCACCGCATAGCCCGAATCTTAGCCCCATAGAAAATGTATGATATATGGTGAAAGGACGCATCCGACAGCACTCTCCTCTTTCATTTAATTTACAAGGTCTAAAAAGCTGCATAGCCAATGCATGGCATTCTCTGGACGTAAATGCACTCCAGAAGCATGTAGAATCGATGCCCAGATGAATCAGAGCAGTTACCCGTGCAAAACGTGGTCCAATAAAATTGATCTTGGATTTATAATTCATTGGCCAGTGTGTGTACTTACTATGAAAAAGTTTATAAGGCAAGATTCAGACGATGCAGCGCGGCTTATAGGAAATTTTGTATCTGATGTGGATTGGATTTTAATTGAACTGGCGATTTAATAACTAAATTAAATTAAAAATTCAAAACAAAAATCAGAATTTTCATGATTTAACCTGTTAATTTAATTTCAATCTGTATAAAGAACTCCATCTAAGGCTCGTAATAAGACTGTAAATGAATGATTTCGTCACTGGGTTTCTATATCACACTTAAATTAGGAAAGTTTGCTTCCTGCAAAATACACCATTTTGACTCTCTGAAAGAAATATAAGATTAAACTCTGGAAGAACTGTATAAACTCTGAAACAAATAACTGAACTAACTCTGAAAAGTAACTGTAAAACTCTGAAACTCTGAAAGAATAACTCTGAAAGAACTGATAATAACTCTGAAACAAATATATGATTGCATACATAAGAAATTTATAATATAATTTTGAATATATGTTTCGGCAATTTTTTATACTAAAATATCAATTAAATTAAAGAAGCATAGATTCACAAAAATCGGTTTTCAGTTATGTCCTTATTTTGGACGAAATACGCGCTTAAAGCAGTCTAAATCAGAAACTTTTATTTTGTAACATCTTTGAAACTTTCTCATAAAAAGGTATGGAGCATGCTGCATGTAATTTATTAAAGCATACTGAAAATATCATTAATTGTGCTTATTTATTTATGAAGCTCGTATAAAGAGTTAAATTTTGTTTCTTCCTCAGTGCTGAGAATGTTATCATAAAACCTCCTTATTCTGAGAAATTTTGTATTTGGAAATACATGTGTAGGATCAATATGTAAAAATTTTATAGCATCATTGCAGCTTCAGTTATGATTGCAAAGTTCAGCTCTACAGAAAATTTATGGTATTAGGTTTATTAGGTTTAAGAACAACTACACATAGCAATATTTTTATCTGCAAAATAATTTTATTGAAACATGCAGACAATAACGACTCAATGGCCTGAAAAAAATTAGTTAAATCTATTTCTCATATATTGGACTGTTCAGTATTTCAAAGCTTCCTTGCCGCACACAGAATTTCCTTTTAATTATCATCCAGAAACCTACATTATTTTGCTTCTAATAAATTTAAGTTTTCGTTTCAATCGAAAGAACTTGAGAATTTGGGTGTATTTTACCGTTGTATATTCATAGTTTAACAGATTTGATAATGATTGCGGAGAATATATTTAAGTTGCTCGTCAGGAAATTTATAGTTTTATTTCTATTTTTTGCATGAGAAAATTTTTGTTTGCAAATGTAAATGGAAAAAGTATCAGTGCAATATATAAAAATCCACCTAAATAAATTTTCTTTATATTGCATATTTGATTGCAACTCAGTACATTTCGTAAGAGTTGCAAGTCTGATATATCAGCTGATAAAGATTCAGTACAAATACACTAAAATGATTTTAATAACTTCTAAAATATTCAAGTCTTCTGGTAAAATGATAATTAACGCCTCATATTTTTCATTATGCCCAAAGTTCGAGAGTGAATTAAATTGTTATCTTTATTGTAAAACCACTACAGTTTAAGCGTAACTTCATGCACTATAATTCTTAAAATATCATTTATTAGTTGCTCCTGTGTTCAAAGTTAAGTTTTAGCTCATTGAAGTAAGCAGTCATACACCATTAAAAATCATCCTATGTGTTTTTTATTCTCAGATTCGGTATCGCGTGTTTTCACGCTTTCATTCATTTTTCCATTATGTGATGTGGGTTGCAGATGACGGGTTGGGCAGGCCTGACGTAAACTAAATGAATTTAGGTAACTGGGAAATAGCGCATTTAGGAATTAAAAAGGAAATCAAATTTTAATACATTTTAACGAATTTTTAAATCTTTTTCTTGACTCTGTAACAATCTTCAAATTAATTAAAAATTTGACAATAACATTCTATGAAAAATTTTCATTAATGAAAAATTTCATTTCATTTTTCCATTATGTGATGTGGGTTGCAGATGACGGGTTGGGCAGGCCAGACGTAAACTAAATGAATTTAGGTAACTGGGAAATAGCGCATTTAGGAATTAAAAAGGAAATCAAATTTTAATACATTTTAACGAATTTTTAAATCTTTTTCTTGACTCTGTAACAATCTTCAAATTAATTAAAAATTTGACAATAACATTCTATGAAAAATTTTCATAGAATAGTATATGTATTTTAGAATACTTTTGTAATTGAAAATAAGTTTATTTGGATGACTATTATTCGACAATTTTTATTTCACTATTGAATTATTCATATCGTCATGCCTAACTTAAAATGGGAGCATAAGTATTATAAATGATGCTCTACAAATTTAATAAGAGAGAGAGGAAAAAATTAAAACTCAAGCAATTAGTTATACATCTGATTTTTTCCCACAGAGGTTATATTTAGTTAATAATTACATTTTAAATCTCATTCAACCCAAAACAAGATTTACTGTTTTTATCAGGAAATATGGTCTGACAACATCCATAGGAAAAAATATATATATATATATAAATGCGTTCTACATAAAACTACTGACGGGTAAAAACGTGTTGTGTGTCGGAGACAACAACGTATCCAAGTTTGTAGTTAAAGGAAACTGTGCGAAATTAATTAATTCATTAACAATCACGTATTTTTACAGTTTTCAAACGGGAAATCTAACAGAAAATCTGGGTATGAAAAAAGTGCTCGAATATGTTCAGAGGCAGTCTATACATGCATTTATTTTTAGATAATATCTTCATTATGAGAGAAAAATCATGATTTTATAGGATAAATTTAGTATTTTAAAATTTAGTGCCCATTTTTGGATTTTTCAAAATATTCATGTATTCCGAACATTCTAAAATTTTTCTCAGTAAACAGCTTGTGAGTAGTTCATTTTTGTAAGGTATGAGTATTGTGAAAATAAAAGGAAAATTTATTAATTACTCGCACATGTCCGATAAGAATCAAAGAAAAACTGTCAAATGAGGCAAGACGGCAAAACGTACAAGTGCAAGCCTACCACGATTGTGCAGCAAAACATGCAAGAAATATTTGTCTAATAGAAGAGGTGCTTTCGTAAAGTATTTTCTATGGTTTGCTCTTGCTTAATCAATTTATTAAGGCAAAGCACAAGAAAGTTATTTGGCTAAGATAGACTACTGAATAAGCTTATGATTAATAAAACATGCAACTTGTTTGATTGACAGGTGAATCCCAAGGCAAACCCTAACACTCTCTGCTTAGCTGGATGCTGCATACCAACTGGATACGGAGCAGCAATGAAGGCTGCACAAGTAACTCCAGGCTCTACATGCGCCATCTGGGGCTTGGGAGGCGTCGGCATGTGCGTTGTCATGGGCTGCAGGGACAGTGGAGCATCCAAGATCATTGGTATCGACGTCAATCCAAAGAAATTCGAAAAGGGTAAGTTATCAACTTATATAGCAATAGTATCAACGCTTCGACAAGTGCCAGAATTTGGAACATGCGCTCTTTCATATCAAAAAGGAAACTTTTTCCAGACCACTTTAAGTATTCTTCACCCAACTACGATTTTCATATTATGATTATTGTACGTGTATTGTAATCAATATTATGTAAATCGATTTTCATATTATGATTATTGTACGTGTATTGTGTATTGTTATGTTACAGTACACTCGAAAATGGATAGAATTAATTAAGGTGAACCTTTAATAGGAAATTCAATTAAAGATCATACTAGTATAGCGTTCGTGACTGAACAAATCTATAATAAACTGATGTTAAAAATTTAGAGAATTTTCATATTTAGACAATTTACCTCCGAAAGTGGAGGATAGACTTTAATGAATTTTAGCATGGGCACATTGACGTAATACAATATATATACGTAATACAATTTATATATACTATCTATTTAAAGTAGTCTCTCTTTCTATATATATCTATACAATAAAGTTCCCCAAAGTCGACCTAACATGAACTGACAACTGACAGCGTGATGAGTTATCGACAATGTCAGTATCACGAATAAGAGTGGGCTATTCTCAACTGATATTATTTTACTGCGTATACTTCTAACAGAAGTTCCAGCATAGTACAGGCCACAGAGGAAGTGCAAAAACATTTATTAAAAGTTAGAAAACATTTACTTGCAAAACTGAAGAAATGTTGAGTAGTTCTCCAAAACAAAATCTCGCGATCCTAAATTCCATCTCACTCCCATTAAAATTAATTCTATGCATTCATTCTATGAATTATTCCTCTACTAAAGAGACATATCATAGAAGATATGCGTCTCATTAATGCATTGTTTTACTTTTTTAAACACCAGGAATTTTTCTATTTGTTTATAAGATCTAGTTAAAGCTTATGGCTACCTGCTACACTACTGCATGCCAAGAATGTAACAAACTTTACTTCTTATAAAGCATGGGGCCGTTTTATTAAACTGTGCGCTAACGTTTTCGAAGGCAGCATTTGAAAATTTGAACCATACACATCACAACTGTAAATCTGATCACCAGACAGAGCTTCTTTTTCAATTAATCTGTGGAAAGCTTCTATGAATTTGTTAACACTTTCCAACACAGCAGACACCCAGACAGAAGGTAGTTAACACACTTTTAAAACGATTTCGATGATCGAAATTTCGTGATTTACATCATAGAACGGTTTTTCATAAAATTCCCAGGGGTATTGATTTCCATTCCACTTCCACTGCTTTCCAATTCGGTCAATCGTAGTCGATTTGCCCTTAAGAACAGCTCTTTTCAAGAGACGAAAAGCCCATCAATCCATGGATGAAACGCCAGGGGGCTTTCCAGGAACACGTTGAAAAAGTCTGTATGAAATAACTGTATCAGCCTTCATTTTTTCAAGGAATGCAGCGGTACTTTTCGAAGTAGGACTTATTGCTTAGTCTTGATGCAGTTTCACTCTTTGAAAGTCACTGAGATAAATTTTTTCTGCAAATATTGGGTATCAAACTTTCCTTTGATAGTACGTTGAGTTGATTTTCCCCACTCCTCTTATTTTAAATTTCTCATTTCAAAAGAATCCTACGACAGTCATAAACACCTTTCTGATACTTTCTTTGCATTGATGAAACGAAGCCTGTACATATTCTTTTCTTCATTTTCGATAATAAATAGACCTTATACTACTGCAGTCATGCAGCTGAACCCATGTTTCTTGAAGGGTCACGGTGTATTTCGATTTATCTCCTGCTAGATAGTTTTCATACAGGGATCTACCAATGTTTTGCTTTCAGTCACATGACTCGGCAAAAGTTGTTGAATATTATGTTTTTAAGCTTTTAAAGTTGTAAATCTTGTGTTATTACTTTATTTATTGTTGCTGTTAATGTTCTGTTTAAAAAATTGGCGACTGATTTCCGCGTCGACAAGATTTCTCTTGTTACGCAACGTTAAGTGATAGCAAATCGAGTCCTAAAACTTTATGTGAGCTTAAAAAAGCCTGCTGATAAAATTAGTAGTTGATACATTTTATTTCGAATTGTTGTCCACTTCTCTGATTCAACATATAAATCAGCAAAAATTTCGCAGATGGTCCAAATATAGTTTCTGAACATCCCAATATTTAATTCAAAATTTACTGCAAGTCATCAATCCACTGATTCAGCGAAATGCTTTCTTTACTCATCCCAATAAATTTTATCCTTGCAGTGGTGTGGATGAAAGAAGCTATAATAGAAAATTATTAATTTCGCTTTGGCATTTTGATTCGTCCACTATAAAATAGGGTTTCGCTTTTTAAATTATTGTCACCAAATATTAGAGCCCTGTAGTATATTTAAAGAAATTAAATAATGAAGAATCTGCATGTCTGCATGAATGTACGTGTGTTTCTTGCATTGTGAAAAAACAACGGTATCTAGGGACATCAAATTTTGAATAATATAGTCCTCCACTCGAATATGGACATCTGGAAGCCCAAATTTGGAAATTTTTTTATTGGAAATTTTTTCATATAAAATTTAACGAATTTTGGATTAACAAACTCAACCATTTCAGAGAGAGCAATGACAACGCTGTACGAAAATAATAATAATAATAATAATAATAATAACTCTCAAAGTTTTTAGATTTTAAATCACGTCCAAAGAGACTTTTTTTAACCTTTTCTCTGTTATCTTTATTTATTAAATATCACGTTCTTCGCACTTAAACAATAAAATTCAGTCAAAGAGCAATATCGCAAAATAGTTCTAAACTGAGCATACCTTTAGAACTTCCAATACGCAGTCTTACACACTGGAGATAAAAATGTTTTCTTCTGTACAACGTTGCCATGGCTCGCTTTTGAAATCCTTGAGTTTGTTAACCAAAAATTACTTAAAGATTTACAAAATATGAAACTGATAATAAAACACATTCCAAATTTCAAACTTGGTCTTCCGCATGCCCATATTCGCAGTAAGATTACGCCATTAAAAATTGGATACCTCTAGGTACCGTTATTTTATCACAATGTGAGAAACATACATACATTTTATGCAGATTCTTCATTATTTAATTTTTTCAAATATAATGCAAGACTCTAACATTTGGTGGCAACAACAACAGTGAAACGAACATTTATAGTGAACCAACGCAAAATAGCAAAACGAAAACAATAGTAGTCCTTCAGGGACAAAGCCCCTTTGGACTAAATTTTTTTTTTCCAACGCACAGTCTTCCAGTCTGTGTATCGGAAATTTTATAAAAATGCTGTTTTTAAATATTTTGTGATATTGCCGTTGAATTCAACTTGCAAATACCATGATATTTAATAAATAGAGGTAATACACAAAACGTTAAGTAAACGCCCCTTTGGGCGTAATATAAAGTCTGAAAGCTTACAGATTTTTCTTTTAAATTTTAATTCATGTTAATAATTTACAGTTATTCCAAGTGCTTATTATTAAATTCGCTTAGCGCTCATTAGCTGATAAAATAATTAATCGTATTAAATGAAATTTTCTTATTAAATTGTATTAAATGTCGTAATTATAATATAAATTAAATAATTATAAATTAAATCGTATTAATCGTATTGAAAGACATTTTGGACAATATTTTGTGTGTTGTATTTTGAATTTACATTTTCCTCACTTATGGGTCTCCACTCGTTTTAAAATATTGGAAGAACACCACATTCAACTTCGATTCCTTTCCAAAATGGCGGATATACTTTGGCATCTTGTACAATGCAAAATGTGAATGAAGAATCTTAAGTTACTGTATTTTTGTAGCATCTTCTCATTTACTGCTTATGTCTAGGATTGTTCTTTTATAACTTGGGTTCCTTCTTTCAGCCAAAGAGTTTGGTTGCACTGACTTTTTGAACCCGAAAGATGTCTCTGATGTTCCCCAGAAGTTGGAAGAGATGACAAATGGAGGTGTGGATTATTGTTTCGTGTCTGTAGGAATCATCCCTGTCATGGTAAGTTTCCTGCATACTGGGACTGTAATTTTGTTACAGGACCAATCATTGAGAAAATCATGAAATTTAAGGGAACTTGCGCGGAAGAAATCACGAAAATTTCATGGCAAAGGATGTAAGAGTAGGGTGCCATTTTCAAAAAAATTATTCCTACATTTTTTAAGAATAAGTTTTGTAATTAGATGAAAACAATTCTTTAACAAGTACGTATTGTGTAGTGTTCAAAACATAATTTTTTATTTAAAATAATGGCACAAATTTTTATATCTTCAAATGATAGAAAATTGATTAGAGATTATTAAAAAAAAAATTCTCGAGAATCGGAACATCGGAAAAGTTACATTGTTCTTTTAACACATAAATGATGGATTAAATTCCAATGAAACATTTACTTCAAATAATCAAAACACAACCAAACGACAAATCATAAATGCGCGCTTCTAACATTATATTTTCTAGGTGGCAGTATCACCAGGACTTTCTCATAGCCTTGTAGGCGCATATGCAGATGCGCATGTTTTTGCTAATTGCTATTCACTTGCAATCTGAACTGAAAGTGACTGTAAAGGCCTCTGGTCAGCACTCACCGTCTACCTGTAGGCAAATTTAGATGGATTATCGAAATCAAATTAAACCTATAGGTTAATGCCTATCGGTATCGTATGCATTAACTACCACAGACGGGATGTCATGCAGAAAATAATCAAGAAATGCCTTTATTGCATATCAACCGCTCAGGTTTTAAAACAGTTACTAATTCATGGAATTTAAAAATAAATTTTAAATCTTATACTTTTTCGAATGGCAATATCTGAGAACTGACTGCTTAAAAGGTTATGTGAAAAAAAAATATATTTCGCGGATTTTTTGATCAATGTCAACAGTTAGTTGCACAGAATGATAAATGCAAAATAAGATTATGGAACATTCCAAAACTTTTAGAAAAGCCTTTCTAACGTCTAAGAACTTTTCTAATGTCAGTACCTCATATTATATGTTTAAAAATAGACTCTCTTAAAAGTGAAAGAAGAGCCAATAAAAGCTCTCTATGCGTTTAAAAGTTAACAATTTTTAGGAGGTACTTCAAAAGAACAATATGTAATAAATTATTTAGGATATAACTAAATTAATAATAAAACCTAAATAAATTATTTAGCCTTACCTATAATAATAATAAAACATTAACAGATTTTTAGTTTTCTTTCCGACAAATGTGCTTTCATTCCTTTTTAGTATTGATTTATTTTTACATTTTTTCGGTCAATGCGGAGAGTACAGTTTAAAGCTATGACATGATTTAACTCGAATCTCAACCCAATGTTCAGTCCAATGATTAACCCAAAGTTCCACCATCACCTTTTCCTAGCTCTTTCCCTGGATCTGAGTCTTCTATCTCAATAAGCTAGAAATGTCTTTTTTTTTTGTTTTTTTTTTTTTAGTCCAAAGGCTTTGTACCTGAAGGACGATTGTTTCGTTTTGCATTTTGCGTCGGCCTCATAACGTCGGTTTCACTTTAAAATGTTGCCACCAAATGTTCGAGTCCTGCATTATTTTGAAATTAAATAATGAAAAATCTGCAGAAATGATGTCTATTCTCGCATGTGATAAAACAATGGACATAGAGCCATCGAATTTGAAGACGAATCCTACTGAGATATGGCATCTGAAACCAAATTTGGAAGTTGTTTTATATATCTTAATTTTAAAACTTTACGAATTTTTGATTTACAATCTATGCTTTAAAAGCGAAATGGCACGTATATAGAAAAAAAAACTTATCCCAGCGCGCGATTGTTATATCGGAAATTCTAAAATTGCTTATTTAACATTTTGCGATATTGCTTGACACTGAATTTCTGTTTAAGTGCTAAGACATGATATTTAAGATAAGGTAAACTCAAACGTAAAAAAACGCCCTGTGTACGTAATTAAAATCTCAACAGTTCAGATTTTTTTTTTTTTCTCTAAGGCCACTCGCGATGGTTTTATATCACAGGGTGAAATCACATCACTCACCTGATTCCGAAAATATAGAAGGATGGCAAAGTCAAGGTAACTAAGACTTGTTGAACTGGCACTGCATCATTTTGCAATTCATTCTTAGTAGATTTATGTGTAAAGAACAACACCAAACAAAAAGTTACGGACGCCTTTCAAATCACTCAAATGAACTACAAGTTCTCCAGATGAATGAACACTATTATTCAGTAAAAATGCAGCCTTAAATTAGCATTGCCAACATAAACACATCAATAAGTGAGAACATGCATTTAAAAGAGTTAGTCTAGTCTAGTCGTGCAACTATAGCCGAAATGTCGCGCGGCTGCACAACTTGTCCCTCATGAAAACAAGCCCAAGGGCACATGACTTGCAATTCTTGACAAGTTTAGAGAGGTCAAAGGGTATACGGGGGCGACCATGCGTCGCAAAGCAGTAAAGGCGCGACAAAAAATCACAAAGAAGGAGCCGTGAGGATCGTGTGAAATGTTTGTGTTGACAAAAAACCAGACAAAACCAACAATTTTAGTCATGACATTTGAAATTATGACACATCATAAAAATAAACATAATATACTTATGACAACATACTACTGAAACGTAAAAAGGAAATAATAAATACATTTTGAAAAATAAAATGGAAATAAAAATAATTACATAATACAAATGTACAAGAGCAGTGCGGTACCCATCATGAAAATTCTACGTTGGAAATTTAAGTCCCTGGCGAGGTGGGCCGCGAGTGGTCTTTGAAGCGTCTTCATCAAGAATCGTAACAAGACATTGAGATCATTCATGTGGCACAATCCTGAGTCTTATTAAAGAAATTGTTGTTCGCATTATGCAAATACATTCAAGGAGCATTCACGTCCGGTGTGTTGGTAGGTGTGATTGACACGTAATAGTGTGTTTAGCTATCATTCGAAGAGCTTATTGTAAAATTTGAACTTCTATCTCCTTCTGAACAGTTCCCGGCGGGAGAGGCATATGAAAATAGACGTAGGATAGAATATAAATGTCTTTTCCTTTTAAGTCAATCTGAAGTCGCAGATAGAAAGCGGGTGAGACTTGTAAGACTCCGATAGTTTTCCTCTCATGCTGTTAATATGTTCTTCCAGGGAAATTTGAACAATATTTTAGTCCAAGGTAATAGCACTTTTGAAAACAGGCACTACAGTGTCAAATAGTATCAGTGCGTTGCAAGGGATGATTCATTTTTTTTCTTAAAAGATAGCAGTTTGGATTATCAGATAATTATTTCCATTGGCGCACCAAGTTCCAGCTTAGGCATAAATCTCTGCAGTCTTAGTGCAAAATTCGGGTGTCCCAGACTTTACAGTGAAAGCTGTATCATCTGGTAGCACCCCATAAGAAGTTCTCAATGTGTTCAGCAGGTAAGTCTGCTACGTAAAAAAGATAGGGTATGGGCCCTAAAATAGATCCTGTGGGACCCCGGCCTTTATTTCTTTTAAAATGATTACTTTCTCAGTTTGAATGTGGAAAGTTCTGTTTGTCAGGAAAGAATAAATGATTTTAATCAACGCATCACTGAAACTTTAAGCTGATTTTATAAATAAGCCCTCATGCCAGACGCGGTCGAACGCCTTCGCCACGTCCAGCATGAGTAAGGCAACATATCTCTTGTTGTGCAGTGCACTGCCTATGAATTCGTTGAGCCGAACTAGCTGTTTGTCGGGGAAAGTGATTTTCTAAAACCAAATGTTCTAGAGGTAGCTTATCCATGTGAGGCTGAATACGGTAAGGATGATTCTTTCTAGAATTTTACCCATACTGGGTAACAGGCTAATGGGTCTATACCCTTCTGTTTTAGTAAGATTTTTCCCGGTTTAGGGAGTACTATCATCTTAGCAGATTTCCAGATTTGTGGAAAATAACTGTTATAAAGGCAAGCGTTTAGAATGCCTGTGACCTGTTGACCAGTAATCGGCAGCCATTAAGCGCCACATTATTTATATTGTCTGCCCAGGGGCCTTCCGTTCCTGAGTTTTTGATGATGTTAGTATTTTGAGGTGAAGTGAGCTCAAGATGACTCTGCAAATTAAGGTTATCATCCAGTTAGAAACTGTGGAGTTTATAAGGTAGAAAAATCCTGATTAGATGGTGAGTGTTCTGGGTAAATGCTTTTCAAATGTTCAGCAAGCGTGTTACATTTTTCATATTAGTAAGTGCATCCATGCTCATGATAAATTGGCCTGTTTACCGTATTCTTATTTTTAGTCGTCTACAAAAGACCAAAAGGAATTACTTGGCTCATTAAAGCTTTCAATCTTTCGTCCCATAGTTCCTTACGGTAAACTATCTGCTTTTTGATTTCTCTACTGAGCCTTCATGTCTTCTTAGTGTTCGGGTCATAGGTAAGGTGAAACTCTTCTGTTTGTTCCTGTCTCTGATGAGATTTTTAATTTAGTGGGTAGTTTATTAGTGATATGCTTTCTTGGAATCTTTCTGGTGCAGCGTCATAACGGTTTTGTATATCTGTCGTTAGCTGCCTCGCGCACGCTATGTCATCGGGAGTGCGTAAAATAAGATTTGTTGCGACTTTCAGAGAGAATTTCATTATATTCCCTCCAGTCGTCGTATTGATAGCTCTCCAGACTTCCTCATGCAAGAGTCGCAATGACTGGGCGTGATCCGAGTCCAGATCCTGTAAGACCTAGGCTAAAGATAGTGAGATGGTAGAAAGGAAGATATCAAGAATATCACTGAATTCCGTTGTTGGGCAATAAGTGTGTCACTCAGCACATGAAAATAAACCGGGTAATTATTTATGAATTCCGACAATTTAATACCATTGTTATTAGTCTTCCTACAATTTCATTCTTGATTTTTAGCATTTAAGTCACCCGCAAGAATGACCTGTTTATTGATATGCAATATCTTTGCTAAGCAATCGACATCGAGAATATTCTTCGGAGGATTATACATAGAGTTAAAATAAACATTCCCATAATGCGGCAGACGGACAGATACAGTGACCAGCTCATGCCCATTAAATCGCTCGTCAT